TATGAAATATTGGTGATATGAGCATTATATGCAATATTGCAACCTCACCATTCTGCAATATGTACAAAATTAATATTGAAAATCTGTTAGAATCTAGAAAAATCACATATAAAGTAAGAGAAGGTTTGAGAAAAGGTGCCATGATGGGGAAAATGAACATAGCACCACTATGAAAATAGTAGTATAAACAGGTTTAAAAAAATGTTGGTGGCGTCACCAAAAAAACAATTACAAAGATGTATAAGAAAATGCTAATTATAAAAGTATAAACAGGTTTAAGTATGAGAAATATCACAATAAAACAATTACAATGTCAAGTATACAAATCAATAAATAATACCATGAAGCTGCACTTTGTTCTGCATAACAGAAACTGTAGAACAAAAGAAGTAGCAAGGTAAAATCGTATGACTTATATCAGAAAACAGAAACTTGTAGCAAAGGACTCAGGAATCACCATATTTCCTAAGATTTAAACAATGTATTAGTGGTTCCACTACTGAACAATAGAATAAGCCTGCTTCCACTACTGCACAATAGAATCTAATGAGCTACTGAGTACAAATGCATAGAATGTTAAGTGCAAGGTACATTATCCTGCATTAATAGAGAAAACAGAAACATCCAGTAAAGAATATGCAATGTACAATTGAACTGTTCTAGTTAATTTAAAAAGCCTGTGTAGCACCATTTGCAATAATTATTTATCATTTACCAGACGCTCCATTTAATCATTGACACACTAAATATATACAACAAGCATAACAACTGAATCATTCATTTGCAACCCACAATAAAAATGAAGACCTCAACATACCTCACTGGTGACTTCATTAACCAATTGTTTTGCAGCTTCAATTTGTTCATTGGTGCCCTCTATCTGTACAGTTCTTTCTGTTGATGTATCACCCGGAGGCAGATGCAAAGGTATCAGCTGAAAAAGAGATAACACAGATAATTTAACAAGAAAATAAAGATAAGGTTTCAAGGCATCCGTCAATCTAATTCAAGATAACCAAATTAAAAACTGTAGGTATCAAGAAAATCTTCATGTACGAGAATAACTTGTGCACCTGAATGCGAGCTCCTGACCTAGCTTGCATATTTTTTATTGTCTCACCTCCCTTACCAATGATCAAACCAACCTGAGAGATATTGCACATTACAAATAGCCCAGATCCAACTAATAATAAGTATAAAGAGCATTCATGTTATAGCTTTTCTGCAAACCTTGTTGTTTGGGACTTTCATTATAAATTGCTCAGTTCCAGGTTGCCCTGTTACTCTTCGAGATACAATGCCAGAACCCCCAGCTTCAGCCTACACATAATTTAACAAAAAAATGGAATTAATTAGTAAGCACTAAATCCTTAGTAGAGACCTAATAACAAGAAGCTTTCATATTCTAAACATTAGGTATCTCATGCTCCTATTTCTGACAAGTATATGTTAACACCAGACTAATAAATCGACGATAACTAAGTTCCAGCTGCTACTTGTTCACAGGATATAACTCTCACTGATACGTATTATCTGGGTAAATTTAAACAGGGATATCAAGCATGCCAGGCTAGAATGGTAATTCCTCAAAATGCCAGTACTTAAGTTACGCAATTTAGTATGAAGTACCTCGGCTAGAACATCATTGATTAGCTGTTCTGCCTTGTTTATTTGCTCTGGAGTACCCATGAGTTCGACCATTCTAGTCAGAGAATTAGGATCCGCATCCATATCCCTTGTCACTTGAATCTTTGCGCCCGACTGAAGCTGAAGATATTTGATTGTTTCTCCACCTTTACCGATAATAACTCCAACCCTCCCATTGGGAATATCAATCTTTTTGCTTGTACCCTGGAAACCATAAGTTGCATTCATCGCTAAAGAAGGTGCTATACCAACTTGGGAATTCGTAATTTGATAACCAGGAGGCTTCTGTCCAATATCTACATCCAATGGTGGCAGAGTCAGTGAAACCTGTGGTAAATAAATTAAAGGATAACAGCACTAACCGGAAACCGAACTTCCTTATCCAAAATGATAAAACCTGTCTTGGGAATAAATCGGAGATAGCAAAAAAATTATAACAATAAACAACAAAAATGAGATAATAAGTATTTTAAAAAAAAAAAAAAAAAAAAAAGGAACGCGAGGGAAAGCTACGTAAAAACATATGCCACGCCCGGTTATGAATCCAAAAATCTCACATAACAACCATATAATTTTAAAAAAGGAACACCAAAAAACCCTTGTGACCCAACTTGAAAGACGCAAGACAATGAATCGGAATAAAAGGGGAAAAAACGAGAGAGAACAATGGAAAAGGGAAATAAAACATCACCTGTTGGACCGGAGCTAAATCCCTTATCATTCGTACCATCTGTGCCGGCACCATTTTCGACGCGAGGACGTTTCGCTTCAGCGTTGCTGAAGAGACGAGCTGCGATCTCCTGGGCTCGCTGCTTGGCAAGCTGGATCTCATCGACAGGTGGAGGTACGCAGTTGTACGAAGGAGGATGAGAGTGAGTTGAATCTGGTGATGGTGAAGCGATCGGTGCTGAGAATCCAGTAGGACGACGAGGAGCGGATGAAGGTGGAGGCGTTTGGTCTTCGTACTTCCGCTTGTTGTCCGTACGAGACGCGAACTGAAGCTCTTCCGCCATTGAAGACTGAGCTGAGAGGCCTCCGCCGAACCAAAAATGAGGAGATTTTTTGAGAACCCAGATTTCACAAGGGTAGAGAGTTCTACCATTTTAATGAGTTAGGCTTCGGTCAGTACAAGCCCCGTGCTGACACCGTTCGTGCGAGCGGTTTAATTCTCACTAGTTCATCGGCCGGGCCGGGTTCGAATAGGGCTTTATCTCTATATATTAACAATATATTTAGGTTCAATCCCGAGCCCCAGAACTAAAATGCATGTTCCGACCGGATTTAAAACGAGTCGAACCATCGAATTACCCGGCTCATGAACAAATTAGCACGGGACTTGCACTGACCGAAGCCACGCTCCATTTTATTTTAATGCCGGCGAGTTGAGAGAAAATTGCTTTACTTTTATGTGGGTGGGGGATACGTAACGGGATCTGCTCCTCACGCAGGGGCGGTTCACAGGCATATCCACCGTGCATTGGAAATATCTTCCTTTAATAATTTAAGTACAGGAAATGTTGCCAATGATAGGACATGCGTGTGAGGTCGGTGTGCCCTTTGTGAGAAGCAGATCGGTCTCGGGGGATAATGGATACGAATGGGCTCCCCCAGATCGCCCTACCGTTAGTAGTCTCGTAGGGTCGTAGGGTTGCAACTTGCATGAGAACTGAGCCACCGCTATCTACACTCGCAGTCTAGAGTTATAAAGTGGGCCGCAGGCCGATACCCATAAGCCGTGCTGTACGGTCGGGGAGTTTTTGAGGCCCACGGGCCGGCCCACAACACAAAGTAAGCTGTGCTATACCACTATCGCAATCACAATAAACGCTAGTCCAGACCCATAAGTCGGGTAGGTTGGTACCCACGCTTATAGTGGCCTATTTGAGCTACTCATGATAAGGGTGCAATCTGGGCATGCCAACCCTAATCCGAATTGATTCACGCTGGATTAATGCATGATGTCATAATTAAATAAAATTTTTAAAATATAAATAAATAATAAATATAATAAAAATTAATCACATCTATAATGTTATATATTATTTATATTAAAGAAAAATAAGTATGATAAATAATAGTAATTGATTTTCTGGTGGAGGGTCAATAATTCAACAGTTTGGGTCATATGTGTTAATCATTGATTTCATAATTAAATAATAAAATTTTAAAAAATAAAAAATAAAAAAATATGAAAAAGATAGAAACTTTATAAAAATAACATTTGGACACACCTCTAATATTTTATATTAATCATATTAAAAATTAGACACAATAAACAATAATTATTTTTTAACTTTTTATTGATGATATGAATAAAATACAAAATTCAAAACTAACCCAAAAGTGAAATTATTTTCTTGTTTAGCGGTGAATCAATTCAACAATTTAGGTTAAATGTATCAACTTGTGAGTAATGAGCATCAAAAGTAATGTTTTACCTTTCGCATTGCATTAGCCATTAGAGACATTGAAGATGCTACTGTGGTTGAGAAAAGAAAGGAGTGGGTAAATTTCTATCCTTGACTCACTTCTTTCCGTGTAGTGTTGTAAGTAGTACAATGTGATTACTTCTGCAGCTGTTTGTTTCATGAGTAGGAATTTTCCTGTACCAGTTACCTAATGTGGTTGTGCAATGTTTCCCTACTTTTTCCTTTAACCTTATAAAGGTTTCCTACTTTTTCCTTTAAACCAAAAATATTATAAGTGAATATTGAATATTACAACAGAAAATCATGATTATTATCCACAATAAGCTTACGATGATTCCAGTTGAGGTTATGGCAACCATACTGATAAAATTAATTAAACTTTAAGCGTGATTCATTTACCAGTTCTATAAATTTATCATCTTCTTTGGCCAATCCTTTAAACATGATGACACTCAGGAAAAGATGGATTTGTATGATGGCATCCCGACAGTGAAAACATCTGTTATTTTGTTAGGTCACTGCAAATTTGCAACGCCATTATGTTGCTTTGTTGGGACGCATTATCTCAATGCAATGAAGTAGATTACTCGGAACGGGATCTGCTCCTCACACATGGGCGCCTCACAGGTACATCCAGATGTTTCCAATGCATGTAGGACGCGCGTGTAAGGTCGGTGTGAGGCGCCCTGTGTGAGGAGCAGATCCGGTCTCAGATTACTCAGCTTGCACCCATCCAAACCAAAACCGAGGAAAATAACAGGACCCAAAACACGAGTATAGAAATAGACGGACATTGCCAACCTGAACGACAGGATGATAGTATAATACATTACGTACAGAATCCTGAATTTACAAAGCGCAGCCCAAAGTAGGTTCAGTCCATTCATGGGGGCATGTGATTGAATAGACAAAAAATAGGTGCAAAACACGTTAAACACGGAACACCCAACGAAAATCTTTAAAACCAGAGGAAACAATACTTTTGTCCCTCAATTTGGAAAGGAGAAATAACACCAGCTTAAGGGAAACGTAAAAGCCTGCTCTAGATAGCCTTTAGCAACTGTTAAAAGTTCTTAATAAACGCCATGCACTCAGACCACCTAAATATTAATCTCCAAAATACCGCATTAAATCCTCGAGGCCTAAATTCCCATATTTTCTCTACTTCACGTGGTTGTTTGGGTTAAGGCAGAAAATCCAAAATACACGAGATCAGTGGTTGGAAGAAAATGGCAGAAACAAACAAGCAGGCTTATTCAGAGAAACCACCTCATAAATTTACAAGTATCGTACTGTCAGACGAACAAAACAGACCCCCAAGAGAAGATGGACTAACATGAGAACTTCCACTCCACCCCAAGAGACCATGCATGAATCAGCAGCTATCGGACAGGCATATAACAGATTGTGATTCTGAAAAGGTGAAAGAAGAATTAGCTTGCAAGTAGATGACAATAATCATGATCATGATAAAAAATTCACAAGCCCCCAAAATGTAGGTTCAACAATACAAGTCCCATGCCCCAGGTGCCAATGAGATCGATGTTACAGAATAATCATGTTGCCTGAAATTAGAGTAAAGACCCCATTGATCTCAAACCTAGCAGCAGTACTGAACAGCCTTCCTTTCGGTTGTAGGAGAGCTACAATCATATTTCTTTGATCTAAATCCAACACAATATGAGCAGAACTGCATCATTTCTTAAAAAGGAAATAAAATAATCAGAGGTAAGCTGCCCGCCTGGGAACAAAAGACAGTTACTTCCTCGTGGATTCGCTGACAGCCACTTCTGGTCCCCCATTTGAGAGCATTCTACAGTTTTAAAAGGGATGTTGACCATCTGTTGGATGATGCAGTCTCCGTCTTAACGGCTGGTGGAGAAGGCTAGATGGCCTCCTCCAACAGCAAACCAAAAGAGCTTGCCGAGTAACAATAACACATCTTCTGAGACCATCTTTACGCATAATACATGTACAGGCTGTTCGCAGCAGCACAGGCAAGAGAATTTTCAGTTGGGTGCCATGCTAGGTGGAGTAACTTTGTTGTGAAATCAAAAGCATTTCCATTTGCATCAACTCCAGGACTATCTGCACCTGTTACAGATTCCAAGAAGACCCAAGTTAGCAGTGGTCAAAAAACTAAGGTACCATTTTACCAATAAAATCCTACTCTCTTCGATGATATTTAGTTCTTAGATTACCATGGAAACAAGCCAAAACTAACCTCTCCTGACAACGCGTGTTAAACTGCTCAGGGATCTTGAAGGCCGTGAAGGAGTCTGCACTTGTCTCCTGAACAAGATCAAAGTATGGTAAAGATCCGATGGTCATCACAATCTATACAGTCAGAAACAGTCCTTGGCCTTCAGACGATTACCATGGAATTTAGTCATGTCCTAAGATACTAGTTCTACTTTCAACCAATACCAATACCACTAACAATAACAATAATAATAAACCTCATAATAACAATAACAACAACAACAACAACAATAATATACCTCATGGGATTTTTGCTGGCTTCCAAAGTTGTTGCCTCAGTGCTGCCTGCAGCAACACCAAATACACGAAATAGATTGCTGGAATCACAGAGACAGTATAAGAATTATGTCAGAAAATAGTAACAGAACTACACATGTTAGACATTATGAACTAAGCTTTCAGTAATTTTGATTAATTAGAATGTTAGGATGGAGGTACATACCTATAGGAACCGGTTGCAACTCGAAGACCATCTCCACTCAAACAGCACTCAAACTTGTCAAAGATCGAATCATTTTCATATAAATCACACAACTGGTAAATATCAAAGCAATATGTTTGTAAGGATGAAAAACGTTTACAATTGCATAAATCCACATATTCCATGACTGAACTCTGGATAGAAGCAGAAAAGAAATATCACCTTAGGCCTTAAATATTCATGAACCTGGAAAGTTGCCACTGGACCAGAATCCATGTTTATGTCCCATAGCTGGCAGCCAAATAAAACAATTTTGGATGAGAAGAAAAAGGCAGATCCAGTTAAACCTGTTATCTTTGTATTGAAAATTTCAAAGAATAGAAACTAAACTTTTTGATTCAGAAAAGAATGTGTCCCATTATTATACACTCTATGATATCCAACGTATCAGAAACCACTATTGACATACAGCACTTGCTCTGCATGTGGGTAAGAAGGTCAGCAAATGGAAAGGCTGATGCTTTAGCTAAGCAAGGAGTAAATAGGGAGGCTTTATTTACTTGTTTGTAAGGATTTTATTTTGGGTTTCTCCACCCATCCTACGGGTGGTGTCATTGGTTATCTTTACTTAAATTCAGCAATGAAAGTTACCGTTTTTTTTTATAAATGATCAATGAAAGTTACCGTTTCCTATAAAAAAACATACAGCACTTGCTCTGCATGTGAGAGAAGCAAGGAACAGAATTACTGATGATGTTGAACATAAGAACATGCTGAGAGAGTTGGTATTGGTTGGAAATTGCCACAATATATTTCAGTGCATATAGCACGCATCCTCAATATGGAAATAGTTAGAGCCATTATTTTTTATCAATAACATGTGGATTTCATTAATGAATAAAAAGATAAGATTTAAATACAATGGTGAGGGGAGGTAAGCTCTCTTAACTTTCCCCCAAAGAGAAAATTACAATGTAGCCCAAAACAAATGATTTCTTCCCATCCCTTGTTTAGCAAGTGCGTCTGCAAATGAATTGGCACATCTTTTAACCCACTGCAGTCGCACTTCCATCCCCTGAGTTAGCCACTTGAATTGTCTTCGTTCATTGATACATGTCCATAGCCCATCATCTTCCTTCCCTTACCATCCTATTGCCACTTTTGAATCTCCTCCGATGATCAACCTGTTAATATTTAGTTTCTTAGCCTTTTTCACTCCATAACCATTTTTTTTATCAGTAACAAAAAAAAAAAACTTTATTAATGATGTGAAGCTTTGTGAAGCTTTGTGAAACTTTAATTACAACGGGGGGAGGTAAAATGTCTTCACTCCCCACCAACAGAATACATTGGAAGAAAATTAAAAATTAGCCCAAAACAGAGATTCCCTATTCACCCCTAGCTTGGCTAACCCATCTGCAAATGAGTTAGCAGTCCTCTTCACCCAGCTGTATTGCACCTCAATGTCCCTACTCAGCCAATTGAATTTTTTCCTTTCATTGTTATAACTCCACAAACCAATGTCTTCTTCCTTTAGCCATCTAAACACCACCTTTGAGTCGCCTTCAAGGACCAAACGTCTGATGTTCAGTTCTCTTGCTCTTTGGATTCCTTCCAGAGCTGCAAGAATCTCAGCCCTAAGAGAGACTCCTTCTCCAATTGGGCCTGAAAACATGGCAGTAATAACCCCATCCTCATTCCTGAACACTCCCCCAATCCCAGAAGGCCCTGGATTCCTTAAGCTACTACCATCAAAATTCAGTTTTATGAATCCAGAGGGAGGAGGGGACCAAGAGGGGCTAAGAGTCCTCTTACATTGGGCAGAGGAAGCTCTCTCTTTCCAATTCCTTAACAAGTCATCCTATTACCACTTTTGAATCACCATCAGATGCTGATGAGACCATCCGAGTAGTAGTAAAACTCAACTTTTTTCCCCAGACCTGAGCTGTCCAAGCCATCATCAGATGCTGACGAGGCTACCTTACTAAAACTCAACTTTCTTTCCAGCACCATATTCAGCACAATAGGGAGAATCTCTAGTACAGATATTCTAATTTTGCTAACATCCATAAGGCCCCAAAGTTATATATTTATTTAATAAAAAAGAAAAACTTCAAAATCAGTTCTATTAGTTGGAAGCAAGAGAACTGACACCCATCAGTGCAAAAGATATTTCTCAGAAATAAAATCAAAGAGCTTATTAATGAAAAAACTAATATACAAGTATCTAGCTTGGATAGAAAACCAGATTAAACCTTTCAAGAAAAGGCTAAACCACAAAACAAAATACATCAAAGATACAAGTATCCCCACCTACTCTAGCTTAAGTCATCTGATAAAGAAATTGTCCATCTTCATACCCATTTGAACAAGGTATTTATTCTAGATGCCAGATTTCTAGCCTCTCTGGTTAAATAACTGAAGATCCCCTCAATCTCCGAATGCTAAAATCTACCACCATCACTTAAGCTATACAGCAAGGCCTTTTATCACTGCAAAAACAGAATCTCCAGAATCAATGGGACTTGAGAAGACTACTCAAGTCGACCATGATGGATCCCTACAGATGCCACCTATCATGATGTATTACTAATAAGGAACCTCCAAATTTGAGCTTCACCACTAGAAAGAGAAAAAACAACAGTATAGGATTAGTAAATCATCATATCAACCGTGAAGTCTTTGTGTATTCATCTCGTCTGCAAACAGTGAGGCACTCTTACAGTAATGATTATTACCTCTGCTCTTGTTGAGAAACATACCATCATGTTAATCCCAGTATGCATGGCACTCAACTGAAATGGCAACAAGGAACATTGTTCCATAACCTAACACAGTAGGCAATATACATATCAATATTACCACTTAACAACTTGCTTCTACAAAATTGGCCCAGCACTGTTCATCAGGAGAAAGACCCCTACTTTTCTTCTCTATTGCAGGTATTATGCTTTTGTTCTGGAGTCCTTGATTTCATCAGCTTTACATGTGTAACAAAATATCATCCTTTATGCCCCCAAAATGAAATATCTCTCTCTGTTAACACTCCCATGAGTAATGCAAATTAAGAACATATCCAACCTGTTCAATATTCACCATATATGCTCTTTTCACACATGAGTAAAAGAAAGTGTTCTACTACCTAATTGAAACATAAACTCATGAATCCTCTCCATATGTTGCTTAAAATCCTCAGGATGGTGCCCCTTTATGTCTTTACTATTTTTATGTCAAGCACTAAGAACCAAATTATCTGCTCCAGAACTCCAACCGCAGTGGCCATACAACACCATCATGACTTTAAACCCTCCCCAAGGTCAACGATAGAAAACCAAAAATAATCATGTTCACTTAATTTAGGATCCCAAAATAAAGGGTTGATAACTGATAACTGTCTGCATGGGAAAAAAAACTAATACGCAACTTGGTCACATCATGCTTATAATATTTGAAAAATCAGAAAGAAAAATGAATAAAAAAACATTACACTGCCTGAACTAAATCCATTTGCATATAGTGAGATAAAATCCAAGAGGTTGAAAGGGGACCTAGTTGGATATCACCTCGATGCAGAATAAGTCATCAAAGGTTCCGCACATTAAAAAAAAAAATTATAGGAATAAGAAACAATGATAATGGTCGTGCAACTCTAATGCTATCTCATCACATATAATGTGCATTGCTTCCATGAATTTTTTCACTACATTCAATATCCATGAAAATAGCCATCTAAAAAAATGCATAAACCTTGCAAAAAACATATTTCAAAATGCTTAACTTATACCAAACCGTATGTAGCACTTCACAACAAACAGTGCAGATTGCATAAACCCAGGCTGGGTTTTGAAGGCATCTGACATGCCTAGACACATAGGCAAGTCTGATTTTTGTGAGGTGCATCTCACCTCGTTTATTGCCATGCTTTTAATGAACTAGCATTGAATTTGATATTGAATGCATATATTATCATATTGTAGGGTATAACCATGATGCTTAGAATTTAAACAATTTAACCTATGTAGAGATTGAACATACAAGGCTACAGCCATGTCATAGCACAAAAATCCAACCAATTGAGCTAATAGACTTTATGAACTTTTTTAATTCTTTCAAAATCAGGATTTGCATGTTCTTGTATATTAAGTTTTCTTCTGTTTTCTTATTCAAAAGTGGCCTCACTTTGTGCCATACACCTAAGAGTCTAGGAATCCCTTGTGCTTTAGCTATACTTCTTATTTTTAAAACACCGATCCATCACAAGAATCATAGTAGTAGAAATAAAATATTTGTCTCAACCTTAAGAGACATGTAATCACGACTAAGTATATGTCTTCCATCCTTTGCAAACTTGATGTCTGAGATTGAAGCAATAATCTCTGTAAAGAAGGATCTTGAACCAGGTACCTCCTGCTCTTCGAACCTGTATGCAGGATATCATTAGCCAATAGACATAGAAAAATAACATTGTTTCAAGCATGGAGAGAAATAAAGATTTCTTTTTTATAAATAATATATTACATTTCATTAAAATCAAGAAGAATTACAGACCCTTGGGAAGGCACGAGATGCTGCCTCTCCAAAACAGGGAACCCATAAAACACATAAACCATAAGACCTATAGCAAAGAGTACATGAGTGCTACTAGGTTTCAGGGCCCTTCTGTCTATTGAGCACAATTCAATAGCATTTTCCATTCTTTCAATAAAATTTTAAGTAATTAAACGATTAAAAAAAGTGATCAACCTACAGAAAGAATAAAATAAAAGGGAAACCAGATCGCTCACAATTTTGTATGAGTATCACATAGAGCAGATTGCCGCAAATCAATGAGACGGATTGAACCCTTTGAGCTACTGTATGCTAACATATTACAATGTGTAGGGTGGAACTCTGCTGATGTTATAACCTCTGCATGTGCAGCAAAAAAAAAAAAAGTAACTTCAAACATATATCATATCAAACAAAAACTGCCAAAAGACCATTTTCAAAAGTCACATAATCACTTAAAATATGTTTCACTGAAGAAAAAAGATCAAAATGTTGAATTATAAAATACTTAATTGCATAAGTTCAATAATGATACACCTTAAGTCCTGAACAGATGCCATTTGATCCAGAAAATCAGGACCGTTCCAAATATTAAAATTCTCAAAATTTCAGAGACAACAACAGGTTCGACAATGAAAACAAGTATTATTATGCAGGTACCATTCAGAATATTGGGAACACGTACCAGTTAGATCCTCCATGTTTGCAGGCTTCACATCAACAATATTAAAACTTTGGTTGCTTATTTCCAAGTTCCAGAGGTTTATTCGCAGATCATCAGCTGAAATGAAAGTCTCACCATCGCTGGAAAAAGAAAGAACAGAAATATGAGATGTCAATTTCAATTATCAATTATCAAAAAAGAGAGCAGCATGCAGAGCAGAGTAATGATATGACTGTATGTATGTACAAAACAGAATTACTATTAGAAATTCCTTTTAATTCTCCTTCTCTAGATTATCATTTAAGAATTTGTGTACAAATAATTAAATAATTCACAATTTATTATGCAGTTTGTTGGAAAATTCATATTGAATAATTAGTTACATCTTAACACCAAAAAAAACTGAAATAAAAAACAACAAAATATGAAATATCAGCAGGAGAAAGATTAGCATAGGACCAAACCATAAAGTGAGCAAAAGGGACACGAGAATTTTAATAACAGTAACAACAACAGTATTATAGAATAACTGCTTACGACAGACAATGGCATAATTTTTTTATATACTCAGACAATGACATTATTTAGATATGCATTCTAATGAGGATGTAAATAAGGCATGAAAGAACGCTTAGTGAACAGTGAACTACATTGGACATACAAAGAAAGTGCATTTAACTGAAAGAATGTAACTTAATGAACAGAAGACCTCGTTAAGGCCAGTAAAAGCTCCTATTCAGTCTAATCAGGTTCTTTTTAATTAATATAACTGTCAAATTTTATTGATTGTGAAATAAAGAAATGAGTATATAAGTAAGAGCGCTAATCACCCCTTTTTGTTAGTCTAGCATCTGCTACCTCATTCTTTTTTTCAAGTCCGCCCTTTTTCTGGGTAACTTGTGAGGTTTTTGTATATTCTCATTGAACATGCTGATGTAATCGACTTTCAATATCAATACATACTTTACCTTCTCTAAAAAATGCAGCCAGAATAGAATTCCAAATAATTCTCCCTTTCTCGCTTTAGCCAACCTGGTTCCATCGAATCTGGATTTCCTCCCCAGACTGGTCCTCACACACACCACAGCACTTGCAGCCGTGCATTGGGAGCATCTCCCCATGAATGAAAAAAAACAAATACAGGAGATGTTCCTGATGTGCAGCTGCAAGTGCTGTGAGGAGGAAATGTGATTTCAGTTCCATCATCACAACAGGTCTAAAATTGATACCGGGATACATCCCAATACCCCAAAGCATCTGTGGAATCTTGCCCATAGGGCAAAAACTAACTGACTGAAATAATAGGTGGTTTGCAGTCTCCCCCTACTGCTGATAGATACCACACATCAGAGTCTAGTATCATCCTTCTCCAAATCAAATTACTTCTTGTCAAACATTTACCTAACACAGCTGCTCAAACCACACAAGCCACCTTGGAAGTGATATAAGGAAGCCACACCTTGGAGCTGGGAAAGGCATAGAGAGCCTGCCCCTGCAGATTCTTGTAGAAAGACTTCACTAAGAATCTTCCCAAGTGGTCAAATTTCCAGATTCTTCAGTCCTCTTGGTTTGCATTAACTTCAGTTCTTGGAATCATGGAAAGCAACTCCACCAGTTGATCAACCTCCCAATCATTCTAAAGGTAGGGTTCCAAATCCAATCCACTTGGTTGTTTATAAGGTGGTAGCAATCAGCCACTAAAGCATTTCTGTCCCTGGCAATCAGGTAAAGGGATGTGAACAAATCCATAAGTGGCATATCCAAAAATTGTGTATCCATCCAAAACCTCACCCAAAGTCCATCCCAACATTGTATTTTGTACCTGAGCTGAAACTGATATAGCTTTTTTCCACCCCTTTCCATAGGGAGCATTCATAGCATTCTCTAGAGCTTCCCAGGTCCTACTACATGTTTCTTGTGCCATACCTTGCTGCAATGGTTTTTCTCCACAAGCTCTTTTGTTGTTCATTGAATTGCCAAAACCATTTTCCAAGCAGATTCACCAACCTTAGTTTCCTAATACCCAAGACTCATCCAGCTTTTGGAAAGAAAAATCTTATTCCACTGCGCCAGCACCAAGTGAATTTTCCCCTTGTCAGTCCAACCTCTACAAAGAAAGTTTCTCATCCTCTTTTCCAGTTTGCCAGCCACTGGAGCTCGAATCGAAAAGAGGGAAAGGAAATAAGTCTCTGATATACATCTTTTCCCTAAGTGGAGGCCTAAATATTTCATAGGTAATCTGCTGATCTTGCAAGTTGCAACCCAAAATTTCAGTGTATAATTCCACAGCTTAAACATTACCACTGCCACCAACTCATTCTTATTGATGTTTATGTTCAATCCTAGCACCCCCTCAAACCAGGTTAAAATACACTTTAAATGTATGACCTGCCCTTAGGATGCCCACAGAAAAAGAGTGCATCATCTGTTAACTGAAGGAGGGATACTTTCTCAGCCTGTTCAGTAACTTTGAAGCCTTTCATCAGACCACAATCAGCTGCCATAGATATCAGTTTTTTTAGAGCCTCAGTCACGCTCACGGAAATGAATTAGTAGGGGGACAAAAGATCCCCCCACCTCAATCCTCTAGAACTGAAAATTCGTCCTCTAGATCTGAAAATTTTCATAGGTAACTTGCCCTTGGAATGAAGGGGCTTCTATCAATTTAACAAAATCCAAGAATATTGTTGGTGAACACCCCCCCCTCCAAAGAAAAAGAAAGAAAGAAAGAAAGAAAACTACTCAATAATGCAACCAAATACTGTCCTAGATATCTTCCATTATGCCAGATTCCTAGGATACTGTCCCAACAATTTCCAACAAACAGCCTTAGGTATAAAACTTATTCAATATGGATATTAGAGATAATACCAGACACATAGGATAGGCAGGGTTAATTTAACATTAGACCAAAAAAGGCAGTGTACAAGAAAACTGATGAGTTTTATCCAGGTGAAAAGGGATAGACACTGAACTTTTGAGCTACACTTAGTAAAGAAGGAAAAGCATGAACATAAATGCTAAAGTGGCACACAATCAAAAGGCAAATATGCCAGAAATCTGAAGGTAAAAGTATATGTTAAATGAAAGATTGACATGTACCTATTATTTGAGATGGAATTGATATGATAGTCATGAGCATGAGCATATATTCTTCGACATCTAGCAACAAGACTTGTCTCATGGCTGGTTACCTAAATACAAAGAAGAGAAGTGTTATTTCTGTCGGCCAAAAAAATAGTAACAATTTATTGATTTCATAGACAGAAGTCCTTGCAGACCTAATGCCACCAAAATTAAGTCACAATTTTTTAATGGGTTTATTAAGGTATTACAATTAAATGATAGAAAGATGTTGAACTCATTAGTATTTTACTTTGAAACAAAATTCTTCCAGAATCAGTAGGCTAGAAAGAGTACAACTACCACAGGCAAATGTAATGATGGAATGCCTCCTGGAGGGAATGCAAAGTCATTGGTCAAATAACTGTAGGATCTGTCTGGGCATACTCCATTTGCAAGATATGGTTTGGAACTAGTTGAAACACTTGAACTAGCAATACTGCCATTTCCAACAGCCCTTGAGGGGTCCACATTCATGTCACATACTTTCTTGACCTTCTTTTCTTGAACCTGCCAATTCTCAAACAGAAATAACACACAACTGTAGGCTTAGAACAGTAGCAACCCACCAATCAGAAAATTCCTAACAAAGGCAGACAGTAACACCATTAGAGACGCAGCAGTGCAAAAATAAACCATGTCTACAGAGTGTAAGCAACATGATTTCTCAAGTTATCATAATGTGAAGCCCATACCAAGTTCATCTTTATTCTAATTTACCATATTCATTAGTTTTCAATGTAATTTAATATTTATTTATGGTTGTGCTTGATCATGACCTCTAGAAGTTGAAATGCAAGTTCCAAGATAATGCCAACACGAGTGTCAAGGCACTTGGCCAATAATATACAGCAAGAAATGCACTTTTGAACGGTAAACTTACCAATAAATACAAGATTTATCAATTTGCTATACCCAAACAAAAAACAAAGACATCCATATTTCCAACCGAAACATGTCAAACAAAACAAGCGTAGTTGAGATAGATGATTAGTGGCAACACTAGATAGTTTGTTTTTTTTGAAAAGTAAAATAAAAGTTTCGCTAAAATAAAAAGAAGAATACATAAGGAATGTGATAAGATATCACCCAAGGGATAACATGACTGTGATAGTTTGTCATTTGAATAGATGACCAATAACTGCACTAGTGAGTAGTGAATTGGTGCAAGTAGAAAACTCTAAAAGATCAAGGGTTTACCAAAGAAAATGTGGTTGGAAGTCATAAAAAACTTGTAATTTTGACAGAAAACATGGTTCATGAGAGAGCATAATGGCAGGGCAGGATTCATATAGCTGATCCCAATAGTTGTGGTTAAGGCTGAAATGAGTTTACTTGAAACCATCAAAGCAAATAGGTCATCTTCCCAAAAAGGAAAATTGCAAAATGGTACATCATATTATCGTGCTAGAAATATGAATTTACATGGTATCATGATGCTTGAAAAGATCATGGAATAATTATGAACAGGGAAACCAACGATGAGAACCAGTTCACCTTCAACAATGATCACAAAAATAGTTCACAAATGCTTTGCCATTCCTACCTTCCAAAACTTAATTGTTTTATCATTAGTTGAGAGAAGAAACAGGGCACCGTTAGCCGTCTGGCACCATCTAATCTTATTGATTTTCTCCTCTATTTCCAAGCTCTTAAGATAGTCAAACTGGATTTACAAAACAAGTACAGTTGAACAATTGATTAACACCCCAGAGTCCACAAAGAGAAAAGAATGTATCTTGAGAAGTTTCAATCAGCAGTGATCCAAAAGAATACCTCGGGTTCATGACTTTGAAACTCTGTTTTGTACCGGAACTCTGGATGCCTACTAATTGGATAATCCATCCTCTCGAGATCTCTTCGAAATCCATGCTAAACAACACAATAATAGAGAATATATTATAAATTTCAAAGATATAAAGCAAGTAAAACAAGTTCAGAAATCAAATAATCATAAAGAAACATGCAAGTTGCCAAGAAACGCACATCCCGTGTATCAGTCCTTTCAAATAAGACCACACGCCCCCCTCGATCACCAGTGGCAAGATGGTCTCCCGTTTTATCAAATTCAATTGCAGAAATTATATCAACTGCAAAAAGGTAGTGGCAGAGAAACCATATCAGCTAGTAAAAAAATGTGAGTTTCAAATTATTGTGCTAGTACTAAGACCTTGTTTTGTCATTTTGTATCTGTACTAAGATTATGAATGATGCCATCATCCAACACAGACACATGTAAAACATGCATTCTAAGAGTATGAACCCGCAGGATAAAAGGTCGTCACAAGTTCTCTTTGAATATGACGAAACCTACTACCAGAAGTTTATTGAAATTCTGCACTTTTTTTCTATCAATAAATTCTGCATTTCTTTCACAGACCACAATTTACCCCAGCATGATTCTTTTCCTACCTGCCAATAAGACTGTATTAAAAGAATAACCATTTTCAGCTGTTAACCAGAAGAAAGATAAAAGAGACGAGAGAACTTTATCAGTACCCAAGGTTCAAAGTATTGATATACACACAATACAACAAATTTGTGTATCACATGTTTCAATTGGCTGATACACTGGTATTTAAAAGAAAAATAAATAAATAAATAAGAATTGGTTCACAACACCACTAAGAGGGACATTTTCCTATAAAATTGGCCAAATTCCCAACTCCATGTATTTAGCATTCTGGTGGCCCCATGATACAATACAACACGCCCAACACAGGGCTTATCGTATTGGTTCACAACACCTCTAAGAGGGGTATTTTCCCATAAAATTGGCCAAATTCCCAACTCCATGTATTTAGCATTCTGGTGGCCCCGTGATACAATACGATACACCCAACACAGGGCTTATTGTATTGATACTTTGAACCTTGTCAGTACCTCAAATAGGCATTTAATCCAATGTGAATGTTTTCTACCACAAACTCCAAAGAGCCTTAATTTTGGTAGGAGTAGGGCTACTGACTGGTAAATTCTCAATGGAACTACAATCAGGATTAAGCTGCACTCTCTAATACAAGAATCCCCACCTCTTGATGGGCCAACTGGGGCAGACTGCACCCACTCTGCAACAAGGGCATCATTTGTCAAATTGGACACCACAGCAAGCATAGAAAAGGACCTCAAGTGAGAGATCATCTGAACTTGTTAAACAAAACAGAGATATCTATCTCTCGATTACCCTTGTAAAAAAGTCAAGAGATTAGTGGTCACCAATGTCCATGATCTTTCATGCTGCTCTTCAATAGCATGCACAAAACAAAATATCTAATAAATCCACAGTCAACGAGTATAACCAACATCTTATTTTTTTCAAAACGTCCAAGAGAAAAAATGCTAATTCGCTACATTAGTAAAGTATGAGAAAGTTGTGTTTTTTATAAACGACAGTTGTTTTTTATTACAAGGGAAATTTTATTAAAATATAGAAAAGAATACAGAACATGTGATAAAAAATCAACCAGAGAGATACCAATAGCAAAGTAACAGCCCCACTAAACCAAGGATCCAAACCTCCCACTTATCCCACCCAATGATCAAGCCACGGCGACTCACCCTACTAAGAGCATACTCTACCATCAATCAAAACATGCCATTTGCCTTTTTTTGATGATAAAACGAAAAGTTTTATCAAAGGAAAAGAAAAACTGAATGTGATGTCTCTTGCCTTACCAGAGCAACATCCTCCATCTTCAGTGAAAAAAAAACCAAGGCTAAATTCTCAGAAACTCATCAAATACCTCTTTAGATAATTTTGAGTAAAACAACTAAAAACTTCGCCATACTAAATTCTTAAAAACCTGCCTGACTCATTCATCATTTTATTTCATCAACCTTCCAGCTACCCTTTCTTCAATCAAAACAGGTTGCTCTGCCCCTCCCTTACCAAAACCCCCTGCAGCTCATATCTTACCTTTTAACAACATTCTCTCTGATATAACAGAATTTCTTCATCCATGATTCTTGCTCAATATTGACACTGCCACATGGATATTAATCCAAATTCATCCTTAACTTCTGACTAAACTCTGACATGTTTGCCTACCATGAAGGTTTCTAAACCCACCTTATGTAATAAACATTGACTTACTTGCCTAAAAAAGGGTGGGATCAAGATCAATTAGTAACCTCAGCCAACTAGGGATTAGATGTGCATTTACAAAACATTTGGAGGAACAAATGGTCGCACTCAAGTCCTACTGCAGAGGCCACATCCATAAAGCCAGAGATCATGTTACTTCTTCAAGGCCTAATGATTGTTTCATGGCCAAGGAGTAGGGATAAAATTCAAGAGGGTCTTTGAGCAGTCATTAGCTGGCAGAGCTTACTTGGTACATGTTAGAGAATATCAACCTATTCAAGGACCTCACCTAACAGCTTAAGCTTTTAGGTTGAATGGTTCTTTGAGATGGTAACAGAGCCATTTTGACCAAGTGGTCTAGTGTTTGATCCTCGTTACCCCCATTATGATTAAATAAGTTTCAGCACAAGGTATGGATGGGCCTGTGATTGTTCACGCTTCAAGCCCAATGGGCTTTCGTGTGGGGGGCATGTTAGAGAATATCAACCTATTCAAGGACCTCACCTAACAGCTTAAGCTTTTAGGTTGAATGATTCTTTGAGAGTACACTCATAATCCATCAAACAATCTGTGCCTTAACAAGTAGTGGGTCTGTTGTTAAAGTTAATAGAAGATCTTCTATGGATACCCTCTCTTCTTCCTCATTTTTAACAAAATTATCCAGTACTTGCAAGAAGGAGAGGCATATTTTCATTCTGAAATTCCAACACCACATGTTTCTTTCCCAATCAAATATGTATCTCTAACCTACAGACCAATTCTCATCATGCAGCTCCTCAGCCAGAAAGCAAGAATCTAGAGCTCCACTAAACTTTATCCATGCTGCATTCAAATGCTGAATGGAATATCCTTACATGTTCCCTTAGACAAAATAAATTCACACCACGATCAATCCATCAGCTTGACCCAGGGCTTTCAATGTCTTTTTAATATTTAATATCAAATCTAAATCTACTCTCCAGCCACAACTCCTGCTCCAAGAGGAAAATAAGGATATCATTAATAAGTTTGTCCTGTCAGCCACAAATGGTTGAGAATTCCACTTGATACAGAACAAATTAAGCTAGCCTAGGAAACTACCAAGTACAAAACATAGTAGGCAACATCTTCTCAGAACCTGGTTCCATATCCAAACTTAAAATTGTAAGAGAATAAGGCATAGACCTTTTTCCCTTCATGGTAGTCAAGTTTTTTTCCTTTTTTTTTTTGTTGATAAGCAATAGTAAAAATTTCATTAAAGAAACCGCCCCGCTGCTCAAAAGGAAAGCAACAGACTGAAACATGTACAACAGGATTTCAAGAATACAAAAACAGCTCTTATCACAAGGAACTCTAATTACACAAAGTACAAGAAAATTGCAGATTACAACCCAGCTCAGGACACCCCATTCGAGTTGACTTCTTGCTACCCCTGCCCTAGCCAGAGAATCTGCTAGTCCAATATCCATTAGCACTTCTAGGCACCCACTTGAATGAGCTATTCAATAAGGAGTACATGTATCGTTCCTCTCTCACCATCAGTCTGACTTTCCATGGAATCATATCTTGTTTTCTCATCACTTCCAAACCCCGAACCATCACTTTCAGTTCAGCTATCAGAGAATTTGCAACACCAAGGGGGCCAGGAAAGCTGAGTAGTACGTTTGCAGCCAAGGTAATATTGGCATATAACCTTGCAAGTGCAACATTTCAATGACCATCTTGATAGAACTACTGCATTGTAGTTTCATGGATCTTATGTATCATTATGTGGATGAAAGCAGTATATACTTAACCACACAAAATCTGGTGCAACTGAAGCAGACGAAACACTTGAACAATGAATGCCTTCTCTTTGGGAGGGGGAAAACTAGAAATGAGGATGATGAGTTTGAACTTTAAAAATCATGTCAGCTAAACCCAGTCCATTCAGCTTTAGCCTCTAATTCAATTTGTTCATTTGGTGTAATGAACCAAGTCATTCCTTGCATGTCTCAGTTTAAATGAAGTTTTAGGAATATAAATTCGTAACAAAAGCCACCCAAACCAAACCCTGCTTCAAACAACTAAAGTATCCCTGTCAAATAAAAACACCATGACCTATAAAAGAAATGACCATGACTGGAAGAAACACTTCAAGTCCAACTACTGCAATAAGTAATCAAATATTGAGCTAGTAACCATGAAAATCCATGCTTTTCCATTGTTGTCAAGAAGAAACTGCAAGTGTCTCAAATATAGAATTTGATCACAGTACTTAGACAGAATAATTCAACTCGCTAAAATCAAGCTATACCAGCGCTATCCAGCTCAGCTGCATGCTGTGGATTATTGTTTTAAAATAACATACCATTTGGTATTATTCATCATCCTCCATGCATGGTACATGAACTCGGATCAACTCTTTCACCAGCTAATACACAAAGCATATCTCCATTGCATGAAAAACAAAACCTACCTCTGGTATCCAACTAGAAAACCCCTATCAAGTACAATTGCATGCTGTTATATGTTCTATTTAATAAGCAAATTTCCTCGTGGTATTTGCATTATTCATGGATTAGATGCACTGTGGATCAATTCATTCACTACTTTTGCTGCAATCGTATGTCCACATGCAGCATTTCCCACCAATTTCATGACAAATTTTCATATTTTTACCCAAAAAATTCACCAAAATCCATTAAAATAAAAGCAGATAGAATGAATCCAGCAATCGAAGATCCAAAATTAGATCGGCACACACCGAACAAACCCTAATCCTAATCAGAATCACGAAATACCTGAAAACACCTTACAGTACTATGGATCCAGAAAGGGCCATACCTTCCTGGACTTCTTCCCCAGCAGTCCGTTCCCCAAAAACCTGAGAGAATTTCCACTCAAGAGGTTGCGGCGGCCCCGCCGGAGCAGCAACCTCTGCATCTCCCCCGCCGTTCATTTTCCCAATAAATATCCGACCAAATCGACCAAAATATGCACCACAAACGACCTCACAGCATCAACGATCTCTCTGTTACCAGGACTTGTGATAAGATCATAACTTCGAATCCGTGCAGATATCCATAAGAATGCAGGCTTCCGATTCTTCCATCCCGCACATAGAATGGAGGGTTTGAATAATGATTGGAGTTCTCTGTCTCTCTCCCCCTTTCTTTTTTTTTTTTTTTTTGGTGGTGAGAGAAAATAAAATGAGATTGAAAGAAAATAACGGAGCAGGAAATGCGTCCCTTCTAGCTTTCGGAACGAAGGCACTCTCCGGTCTTCCCTGGCTAGCTCTCTCTATAATGTGCTCCTTTTTATTTTCTTAAAATATTATTTATTAAACATTAAAAATACTGCATACGACGGAATGGATAGAACGTAATGTAAACTCCTCCAGATGTCTAAAATACCCCTGCCTTTATTCTTTGTTATTAGATAACGCAAAATGATCTTCGGCGTAAATACCGAGGTGATTGTAATTCTATAACTAGCTTTGTTATCAGACGGCTGTAGAGGAAATGATTATTGCATCCTAGTGCAATTATTCTGCATCAGTCTTGTGACAATGAGTAGACCCACTGTTTACAGCCTTGGTATTGACACGTGGAGGAGAAAAGTGGAACTAGAATCTTTTCTATGGACCGTGGTAGAAAAATAGATCTTTGGGAAGAAAAAGATTTCGACCTAGCGATTCTTGACACATGGCCTCCTTTGTTGGACCTAGTAACAGGGTAAAGCCTCTATACTCCGTTGGAAATGACTTTTACATATGGTATGATAAACAAAATCCGTTACGTCTTCGTCGATGTAAAGATTCCTATCAGATCACTTCTGCACATTCCACGTGTATTTTGCTTATTAGCCACTATTTTTATGCTTCCACCCTCGTTGATACAAACCGACATTTTATTCCACGTCTCGTTTGGTCTAAAGGTAGCCCAATGAAATTTAATTAATGAAGCTTATGAGATTAATAATGGAACTTATATTATATATAATATTTTTTATTTTTATATATGTATAATAATAAATATTTTTGTTATGTATGATTTTTTATATATAATTATTTTTATTTTTTATATGGAGCTTAGCTCAACATATGAGCTTTTTTGTTTACTAAGTTGAATTCGAGCTCATATTTATAGCTCCAATCAAGTTTGGACCAGAACTCAAACCTCATTGTTTTTTTGGGTAAATTATAAAGACCCCCCCCTTGTACTATAGGGTAAGTGGCAAAGTCCCCCTATGTTTTTTTTATGATAAAGACCCTCCTGAACTTTAACCATTAGACAAATACCCCACTGGCCGTTAAGTTAGATGATAGAAATCGTTAAATTACCAAAATTTCCCACTAAACTTTTTCTACTTTCTTTTTCTTGCCCTTTTTCTCTTAAAACCTATTTAACCTAGGAAATATATATCTGGTCCTACAAAGTAAGAGTGGGTCGTTCGTTCCTCTATTGGTGGACGGAAATGTCTACAAACTACCCTATGCTCCTCTAAATATTCATTCCTCATCTTTGTTTTTTTCTTCTTTGCTTTTAGTCTTTCATGTTCTTCCATCTCCCTTTGCCTAGCTTCTTCATGTCTTCCAATCTCCGCTAACCTCCGTTCTTCCTGCATCCTCTTATTTTCCTCATAAAGCCTCATTGTTTTCTTCTCTCTCAACATGTCTGTGTATCTCCTCCTTTCCTCCTCTTCCCACAATCTTTTATCTTCTCCAACTTTTCTCCTTGATGCCTCTTCATCGAATTGTTTTCTCTCCTTATCTCTATGTTTCTCAAAACTTGACAACTCAATCATCTTTTTTTGTCTTTCGATGTTCTTCACCCAATCTAGAACTAGCTTCCTGTTTGACCTGGTCCACATTGGCAATTGTCTTTGTTTGCTTAATTATGATTTTCTTGCAAGGTTGATCTCTATCTTCCTCTGTTGGTGGACGTATCACAATTGATGGCTTATGAGGTTCCGCTTGGATATCTTCATTTTTCATCTTGTTTAAAATATTTATCTTATTGATCTTTGTAATAGGCTTAGTCCCAGTTTCAGCATCAGAAGCGATAGGTTTCTCAATACCCTGCATAAATCCCAAGTATTACTTCCCCAAAAGATTTGTCAACAGGACCACATTTGAGCTTTAGTGAGAGGAATTTTGCTTTTAATCCCAATTTATCAGCATTTTTCAAGGTTGCTACATTAGCAACCTTTGACATAGTCTTTTGTTTTAGTTTTTTCATTGCAGCTTTCTTGCTAGGACTGGGAAGAAGGATCAAGAATGGTAGATTTTCCTTATACTTTTTCCAAGCATGTGTTATCAACCTGTATTTCCAAGTATTCTCCATACTTAGGGCAGTTCTTGTTGGTCCTCATGCGCCCTGACCGATACATTAAAAGGTAAACAATCACTATTGTAAGTTAAAAAACATTATTCATTATTTTATGGCAATGCAAAATAATGCACCTCAAGCACATACTTAACCACAACCTTTTTTTCTGTTTGTAGCCATTTCACCTAACTTCAATGGAAAAGACAATGAATGGGTAGTTTGGACATTTAAACAGTTTGGTTAAATTTTTTTCGGAGTTAACTAACAAAACGTTATCAGAAGGGGGTGTCTAACGACTAAAGTTCAGTGGGGTATTTTTCGCAAAAAAAAAATACAAGGGAGATGACATCACTGGCCCCACAGTACAAGGGGGGTCTTTGTAATTTACCCTTTTTTTATATAAGCTCAAATAGTTATATACTCTACTTAACTCCACCGAAAACCACCCATAGTAAGAACTAGAAATCAACGGTTAGTTATGGAGATAAAAAACTTTGTATCTAACAAGTTATATCAACAACAATGATGCTACATTTGGGATATCATGTTCACCGCATTGAGTTTAAAAAAGACTATTGGTTGTAGCGAAACCATGTTTAATGATGATGACTATGAGTGACCACGATACGATAAGTGCATAAACCAATTGTAATACAAGTAATGAATGTTGAGTTATGATTCATCTTGGGAAGTTGTGAAAATCACATTGGCGTATGATCAAATGAATTGTGCGTAAGTCGTGATGAACACAATGTACTCAACGCACCAACTTCACTCACTAAGACTCTTGCAACAACCCAATTACATCATCACACCTATTGAGCTCCAACGCTCATGTCATTATAATTGCTTTATGACGACCAATGTTCTATGGTTAGCTCCTAGTACATGATAGCCGCATAATCGGCCACCAACGAATATCACGTTTAGCAATCCCCTTGACAATTAAATCACATGTCAAGTACCACTAGCCACAAATTTCCCATTTAATCTCATGTCATTATACTTGATTGAACCACCATTTTTGTTCAACTATTTTAATATAATGTTTTAGGTGCCAAAAGTTGTAATGTTTATTTATCTCGACATTATATAAACCAAGTCGAGCTTTGTAATTTTTTTTTTAGATTATTAAATATAACTGGTATCGTTTTTGCATTTCAAGGCATTGCCTACCTTATTCTTCATCGCTACTTTACTTGTATATGTTTTCATGCCACTAAGTCCCCCAAATCATTGTTGCCTATGCTAATAGAGACTCAAGCCCATAACTTTAATAAAATGCAAAGACAAATTACCCAATAGACTGTGTGGTATTTATTACTTTTTAGAAATTATTGTTGTGATATTTATTATTGTTGATAGTGAGTTGATTCCATTACAGAATACCAAATACACCACACACTCGTGTGCATGACACTTATGATTGATTATATAACATTTTACACACAACATGTAAAGCACTAAATTTGGGGACATGCAAATTCTCCATTTGGAAGTTAGCACTCACTTGACAATTTGATTGAAAGTCCATGTGAAATTTAACTAAATTTATAGCTTTTAGTCTTTTCATGTGAGACCCACATTGTAAAGACAATTGTGCAAAATTCTTCAAATATGAGTACTAAAAACAAATTAAATTCTTATGAGTTGGGACTCAAAAGAGTCATTAACTCATGAAAAACAATGAAGATGGGTGAGAAGACATTCTCATTTTTTAAAATTTAATGTTTGTGGTATATAATTAAATCATTATTTGAGTATGAATTTTCATCACTAAACATTTGATGAATTCGGTTTCTTACACTAATCATTAATGTTCAATTTGAAGTTTTTATTAAAAAAAAAAAAAACAAAAATCTCTAAAGTCTAAACTATCCTATCGTTTCAACAATCGATATAGTAATGAAAGTATTATGTTTAACTTTTAATATGGAGCAAAACATCAAGGTTTGTTGAAAAATGTTGTCAATAAGTAACAATCAAAATTGTCACGGCATTTGTTGGATGAAAACCTATTATGTCACATGTATAAGGGAAAGTGATGCAAATTTAGAAAGTTGAAATTAAAAGCACGATTGAAATAACTTATAGATAGTAAGCCATGCGTTTGATTATGCTTCATACCATTATTGTTTTTAATCAATTAACAACAATTTGGATTGATTAATACAAGTTTTGTAAAAACATAGTCACATTGTATATGTGTTTTTGCATTTTTAAATGCATATATGTGATTCGTCATTGACGTTTATGGTTGAAATTCCATATTTGATATTCAATGTGAAAACAACAATTTGTATCGATCAATTCATAGTGTTTCATGTATAAAAAGCAATTGTACGACCTAACATTATAAACAATAAATGATTATGGTGTAAAATAATAAATTGAATGGGATAAAAAAAAGGCAATTTATCTTATAACGAGTTTTATAATGGAAAAAAAAAACATGGAAAACTATGCACATATAATTAAATCAGGTTGAATTACTCAAGGTTGTGCTTAATCACATCCCAACTTGAGTTGTTAAATTCATAACCATGACCCAATTTTGCATTCAACTCAATGTGGTCAACCCTAACCCCCAATAATGAGATTACGTTAGTTGGATTTATTTGTGTTTGGGTAGGATTCAAGTTTGTATAATTTATTCACCATTTATTTTGCTTAAGAAATATTCTTACTTCCTATATTTAGGGTAATTAAGTAATTTAATATTTAACATTACTTTATGTAAGAACAAAGTTGTAATGTTTTTAGAAGTATCATCTTTTTGTTACACCCCTGACAAAAAAATAATGATGGCATGTAAAGTTTAAAATTATAATTATTCATGCATAAATGCATACAAAATACAAGATATGCATATGGTATGTATGTATAGCCAACAATAGTTGTGTAGCTAACTGTTCAACTAATAATAACACCTCATGTTATCCATAAATGCTAAATGAGAAAATGAACAA